GATAATAAAAATTTATAGTGGTTAACTATATTAAATATAAGGGTGAAAAAAATAACAATTTTATAAAATTGTTGAAAAGTATATGTATCTGAAATTTTGAAAAAAGTGGACACTTTTTGTAATAATGAGTATTCAACGATAAAATAAATACCCTATATTATGCGATTATATTATAAAATTATTTGTGCAGTTCGTTTAAGCACAGAATTACTTATATATAACTGTCTTATATTACTCATACTATTCATATTTACGATAAATAAATTATGTATGTATCATTATACTATATCATATGTGTCACATCCATAGATAATTACGAATTAATAATACTTAAATGAATTAATTGGTATAAAACTGAAGAATGATAATATATTTTAATTATTTAAAAAAAATTAACTTAGCGAATTAAACGTTGAAAACTGCAACGTGTAGGTGGTTTTGTTCTCGTAATACTTGGAAAATGCGTCTTTTTAAATAAAGTTTGTGTTTTAGAAGTCTAAAAGTCAGAGGTCTACATTAAAAAAGAGAACATATAATTTAATTAAACTTTTTTTTGTTTACGGTGTACCTACTATATGCAATTTAATTAGTTTTATAGTTTTATGCAATCGGCGTTATGCTTTAAAAGTTTAAAAAATCAGACGTTTAACCACGCGTGTAATAGGTACACCTACCTATGATTTGCAAATTAGACGGGAAATTATTTTGATGACATAGGGCCGCTGTTGTAGTTGATCGAGATTTAAAAGACACTAAATATATATATAAAAATAAACAATTTAGTTCAAAGCAGTGTAAGTTAAAAATCAAAAACAATGTTTTAAATTAGACGAGAACGATTGTATATATGATATGTTATTATAATAATATAATGTTATGTTAGTACTCGTTTATCGTTTATGAAAGTTATATAGATAATTGATATTAAATTTGAAACGGTTATTTCACAGTACCGGTTATTATTTTATAGAGCTTCTTTAAATAGATATAGGTATACGAAAACTTGATATATTTTTTTTAGTTTGATAGTCGAAAAAAAACTAGTATATGAAATCGTTTACAAAGTCTTAAAACGAACAATATTGTATAACGTGGCGGCCAACCGGTTCGTAATCGCAATAAAAATATTTAAATAAGTTAAAAGTTTACTAGTTGTAGTACAACGGTAATATTTGAATTCACCAATGTTTTAATTACAAAATAAAAAGAAACCCAATGCGATTTTATCCTAGGTACGGGCGTCATTACGGGGTAGCAACTGCAGTTACCCTGCCATTTTCATCGAGGTTGCAAATTAATAGCTACCCTACCCTATGAATAATTTCTAAAAATAAAGTCTACTTTATTTTTAAGTATTATTTTAAGTAAATTTCATTAGACCACAACTGAATTTCCACAAATATCATTCAAGATGCACATGACGCCCCATTCAAATGACGCCTATGATTTTATGTGTACCTGTATCCTTTCCGAATAAATGTCAGATATGCATTTTTTAAATCAATTTTTCATAAAAATAATAGCCGTTTTTGTATTTCGTGAGAGGAGGACGTCACACAGGTATAATAATAATAATAATTATGATACCTATATTTACTGCAGTAGAATATCAACTCCCACGAGGATTGACTAAATAACATTATTGGAATGCGCGGTTAATAATAGCACAATTATCCGCCCACAACCGCATAAAAATATAGTAGGTACATCTACCGGAAAAATTATATTTTATACGATATTGTATTTTTCATATGATATTATATTATAATACATTTTCTGCTGTTCGACGAAAATAAAAGGACACCATCTTTACACAATCCTACTCGGGGACTCGTAAAATGTAAACAATTATTGAAATTTATGTTTGTATATAATATTATAAAAAACTGCAGTATATCGAATTTAACATGTTGTCGTCCGTTGACAGTCTACTATAGTATATTGACAATACTGTTTATTTATACACGAATTTGTGATGAATTATTTTATATTTATAGTTATCTACATAGAAATGTATTGTTGTATAGTTTTCTTGTAGCAAATCTACCGGAAACAATCGTCATCAAAGTTTTTTTTATAATTGACCGATAGAAAAATAATTGAGGATAATGTCACATTTTTTAGAATCTGTGCGAAGCGGAGAAATGTACTTATTCGTATTATTGTTTTACTATAGGATAAGTGCTGTTTTTTTCTGTCCATAAACAACTTTCCTATATAAACTTTCTAAAAGGACATTTTGTATGGTTGGTGCATTACGAGGAGGTTTTTCGATTTTCTTTTCTTTGTTTAAGCTCCTTTCTGGTTCTATTGACACCTCTTTTTTCCCTGCTAAAATTAGTTTTAAGTTTCCTGTTCGATTTGTTATGACACGCACGTATTATTTGATCGAAAACATCATTAAATATAAATAATGTACCAGTTAAATATTATTTATTTATATTAATATAATAAAGGAGAACAATTTTTTACTTTATTTGTATGTAGGGGTAATCTCCGCAACTATTAGCCCGAATTGAAAAATTATTTTTGCGTTGGATTAGTACGTTTATCGAGGAAGGTTGTAGGCCACCTAAAAAAAAAACACAACCCCTAATATATAACATATAATATAGTATATACAGGGGGATTTATTAAGCATGGCCATCCTATTTTTAGGGGTAAATCATATATATATACATGCAAATTCTGATTTCGGGAATTACATCGTCACTTTCATACCTCATTAATAATTGTTATGAATAAAAAATACGTCAGAGCTTTTTTTATAATATTAAAGTTACGAAAACAATAATAAAAAAAAGTGTAACTGCTATAACCCATAAGTGACTTTATTTCTACTTCTGTAATATGACTTATATTGCAGTTACGTAAATAAATTTATATTTTTATGTTATGTCTACCTTATAATTATAATTATTGTTTGATCATCTAAAATTATACGAATATTTTCATTATTTTTATTGTTTCGTGTATACATATTGACATAATGACTGATGAGATCAAAGTAACAAAAAAATATACAAAACAAGTACGTTACGTTACGTGTAAATCTGAAGACATACTAATACGTCTTGAAATAATACAACGTATTGGTTGACGAATAATTTGTTATTTTTAACAGATAAGATAAAAATAGAAAAACTACATAAATACTACTACATTAACTGACCAGTTACGATTAAAAACCAAAAATTTCAAATTTACAAAAATCGTAAAAGTCATAGCACTTTTAAACATATTAAATTAAATTTCGTTCAGAATCGTCGTTCGTTGGCAATGATTTTTGTTTTCATAAAGCTTGCGAGTTCTAATCTATGATTTAATTAATTAAAAGCACTAAAAATTTTAATTGGATATTTACTTTATACATTTACAAACTAATACAGTTTTTAGTTTAAATTTAGCAAAAAATATTTGACCTAACTCCGGTCCTAATCGTTTTCCGTTTTCAATAATGTTATTCAATACGCTAACTAAATTACCTTATACAAATACTTTGTCTTCCCGGCTTCCCGTATACACATCAATGGTATACACAGAGTTTTTTTTTTTTTTTTTGTGATGATTTATTTAGGATCTCAACTAAATTGTAAGTTAGATTAGACTAAACAATATCAGGTATATTTCCAATAATATTACAATGCGCCTATCACAATTAGTAGTACAGAAGTTTAGAATGAATGAAATAGATAATAAAATATCAATCCTTAACGAAAAGACGAAGCATCCCGTAGTTTACAGCTACTGCACGTCGGCTCTTTTTTTTTCTCTTTCGATTTAGGCGACTTAGTCATTTTCATCGGAGATGCGAACCGCGTATAGGTTTCCGGGAATCATTTTATTGTATACAATAATGCGCTGTGAAAGTAATGAGATTTGGAAAATAATTCTTCGAACTGTTTAAATATTTTTCTCCTTACATGTACTAAAAAATGTGGGGCATCACCGTGCATGCCATATAGGTACTGCACCACAGTACTATAGAATAACAATGTATAATATATTTCGGGAAATCTTAAATTTAATCGTTACATAATTGCAGATTTTAAACTTAAAAACGTAAAAAAAAGCGTTTGTTTTTGTCAGTAACATTTTTTTGTCAGGTACACCTATAGTTTGTTGTTGATTCAAGAACATATCATATTATTATTTTTCGCACAAACGATTTTTTATTTACCCATAATATACAACATATGATGATAATGAAAACTGCGACGAACATTATTTATACGGAAACTTGCAAATTATAATAAAAAGAAATACACTATCGAGATCATTAGATACTTGTTTCAGTGATACACTGTTTCAAAGCTTTATAAATTACGTAAAAAAAAAATAAAAAAATTATAAAACCTATAAAAACGATTCTACATAAGTGCGTAGTGTTATTCAATTACAACCATATTATATTGGTGACTGGCTTATATCATATATATATATATATATACTTACGAATCCTTTATTCCTCTATATTATACTATATAATGAATAGTGTATATATACAGGGTGTCCAGAAAATAACATCTTGGTTTCGAAGAGCTAAATATTTTTTAAAATAAAAAAAAAATACATAAATCTGTTTCCATGCGTCCAAAATTACTTGTACGTTACTTTTATATTTTAATTATTTTTTCTTGATTCTCTTAAGAAATTCCCAAATGTGTTCCGATGTGTCCGTCCTTCGCAGCGAGAGCGCCAATTTTTTTTTCACAAAATCCACCGTCTCCGGAAATTCTTATTTGGATAAGCTTAAAAACTGCAGTCTGTAATCTCCATGTCGAATTCGTTAAGAAGATTTTATATTCCGACTGTTTTCTCCTCACTGCAAGCATCACTATCCATTCGCCGATATACGTATATGGTACCTGACAATCTGGTAATCTGCCTCAGCGGTGCAGAGTTGTTCAATCGGATGTGCAGGACTTTTCATTATAGTACTTCTAGCCTCCGATGTCATTCGATTTAACACTTGGTATTTTTTCTTTGTCAGGGGATTCGTCAAGACTCAAGGCGAAGTGTATACAAACCACCATTGCCGAGGGATATCGACGAATCGAAGCAACGGATCGCAACAGCTGTGAATATTTTGATCACACGACCATAATATATGACGTGGGAGGTATGCAACGATAGTATCGACTCGATATTGTGCACGTTACTAAGAATGGGCATAATGCACACAATTAATGAATTCGCTAAAAGAAACTAAAATGTAAAAATAAAATACGAATAGTGTACACAGGCACAAGTCATTTGGTTGGTGACAAATAATTGCTGTATTCCTTTTTCGGAAACACATGTAGCTTGGGCATTCTCTGTGTACATCTTATAAACTATACAAACGCGAACCACCCATCTATCATAATCCTTTACAAGACTGTATCCTGTACCTGTATATAACGTCGTTTACACAAAAAAAAAAAAAAACTTTAATAGGTACCGCATCTTTTCGTGTTTTTAATATATAATTGTGTTTTAATGTGTATATTATCTCATCTCGCTTTCTACGTGCGGCCATTATATTATGATCTTCCGTTGGCGTTTCTCCCGTCGTTCACCACAAAGCGATATCAGCGGCCGTCTCGACGCACGCCAACAATAGTAAGACGATTCGAAAAATGATTATCGCCACGATGCGCCTCTAAACATTTAAAAAAAAAAAACTGTATGTGACTGTAATAATACAAATATGACAATGGAAGAGTAGTCCTTAAACACCGAAGCTTTCATATAATTACGTCAAAGTGTTATAGCTCGCGTGATATACCTAAACATCCTACAGGTGTGTTTACAAGAATAATAATAATTACGTGTACGTGTTTTTTTTCCTTTATTTCTGAAACGGTTTTTGGACGAATTATGTCACACGCGCGTAAATAACAACAACCGCATCAAAATAAATAGTTACGATAATAACGATAATAGTAATAATAATAATTATTGTTATTATATATTTACGAGTATATATGTATTTATTAACTATCCAATTCATAAAAAAAAAATATTATATTGTTTTGTTATTTTCTGTGGCTATTCAATATTGAATCGGGTGCCACAATTTAGGTTAATCGGTACTAATTTAGTTACGTAAATAAACGCATTAACCAACGTACGTAATAACTGTCCGATCATTGTTCACCAGTCGATTATTATTATTTTTTTATATCGATTTTGTGTGAAATATTTTATGCCCGATCGAATGGCCGCACTACTGGTTTTCATTCACATGCTTTTATTATCGCAGCATATATTATGATTGATGACCAAACGAGTCACAGGTCAAAAATAGAGATTTTTTTTGCGAAAGGACACGATATAATCAACTGCCGTCTATCATTTAATGTCTATGTACACGAGAAAGAACACAAAAGTCATCACGAGCTCTTTTACTTGACGAGCAGTAAAGCTTCACAAATCGTTAATTTATCTGTTGTAACAGTTATAGGTAGGGTTGCTAGATTTTAAAATCATCAAACTTCGAGCGATCCTATATGAGTTTCGTTGAATTTTAGTTAGCTTTTTTTACTCGCTCGAAAGTGGCTTTGAACATGCGCAGATGTTCTTGTAAATTGAGTGAAGTTGACAAACACACGGGGGCTTGCCCCCATGAGCCCTTTATTAGTCACTCTGGCTAATAAAACGGTTTGTTGGTGCAGGCAGTGTTAATAGCTCACAAAGATCATAAGGTCTAACTGTATTTTCCTACCCCTTTTACCCGACCAAGCGGTAATTCATAAGTTTACTCTGAGCTTCTATTAACTGGGACAAACTGAATGGTTGGTCGGGTCACTAAGACATAAAACAGGAACGAATGGCGAGCCTAGCTATAGATACCTAATAATAGTTAGTTCGATAAATTTATTTACTTATAAATATAACACGATTTTTAGTAAAATATAAATTTACTTGAAATAATAAAAAAAAATAGAAAACTGTTCGGGGTTTTTTTTCTGGAAAATGGTCGAAATTGACTTTTGTATTTGTAAGCTGTAATCCGGAATGACGTCGGAAAACTGAAAAATCGAAGTATTGTACGCATAACTTTACTATTTCGAACGTTGACTTCGCACGTGTACAATATTTTTTTATACACTGAATAGGTACCCATTTATGGTGCACATATATTATAATAACGAAACATATCGATGTCTTTATAAGTTTATACGGTATGTAGCATTATAAAAACAAAATGCTGCGTATTGCATCCCACATTACTTACTGGTACCGGAATATTGATCGTCGCGAAACGAGAGAAAATGCATAGTAGAAGAACCAGCTCTTAAAAATACGCCCTTGTTTTTTACGATTGAATTTGCAATATTCCTATGAGCATATACAGTAGGGCAGTTTTGTGGAGTGGAGGAGATTCAACACCCCCCCCCTCCTCCGAGGCATACGACTTTTATAATATTAGTAGGCTTGAAATGAACCGTGGTATTTAGCCGTGGCCTTAGCCGTCTTAATTGTACTAATATTATACCTCTCCTCCCTCCTAAAAAAAGGCCCCTAAGCGTATATAATACATATTTCACATAGGTGAACATTATGTTAAGATTGGAAGTTGGATGCATTTTGAAAGTCTAACAATTATTAAATATTACACACTTCAATTATAACGGACATGTCGGCGAGTAATGATACAATTTCATGGATAGTTCCGTCCGACCGAAAAACGACAGACATCAAATGTATTACATATATTAGCGAATAAACAAAAGCGAAACGGACGTGGAAAACGCCACAAAGACGATGCACGACTTCGGGGTATTCGATTTCACGGAACAACAATAGCGTCTGAATTAGAAAAAATCGGTAAGTGCGATTGCCAAAACGTCCGTTTTCTGCAGAGTACAACGAACGTGATAAAGGAGGCGTCGCTGATGGTCTGTGGATCGACTGTTTTCATTTCCCGAGCGACTTTTTCGTCCTTTTATTTCAATTAAATCGGTTTTCGTTCACGTCTACGACGACGCGCGTGAGGTGAACAATATTTACCTACACACACACACACACACACACACACACACACACACACACGATAATATACCACGTTATTGCTTAACCCACGGCACCTGTTGCACGCGTAAATTATGATATAAACAACAATTGCAGTCACGTGAAACCACCTGTTATAATATAGACTTACGAGCAATTTACGTTTCTCGGGCAATAAATAGATCAACAGATCCGAGTGTATACACACTCTGACGGGATAATATTATTATATATCGGCTAGAGCAGGGTGTACCGATCCACATGGTTTTTTTTATATTATATTTGCGGAACGGATTATCGTCGTCTGTTCCGATAACATTCGATACCGTCAATCGCTGTTCCGTCGACCGTCCACCTCCCAGTATAGCAGTCGTTATCTCAAGACGATTGATATAATACCGTAGCAATACGAGTACACTGACAGCTCGTCATCGACCGAAATAACGGTAACTGCGGTATTACCATATAGCCGACACGCGGTAATTCTATGTCCGCAGTGTGTATCTACAAGCGTATACTGCTTGCTCGGGTGTTATGCTATTCGATTGGAGTGCGGTCAATCGGTCGTTTATTATAATAAATTATGGCGCACAATAAAATATTTTATTCAACCGGAAATGCGGTCAGTTCGTACGAGCGTTTATGCTCCCAAAAAAATACAATTTGCTAACGAATAAGCATCTAACGTATACCAGAAAACAATAGTGTACTTCGCACGTACATCCTTTGGTGTTTTATTAGGTTTTCGTGCACGAAGTGATAATCAGTTTTCTTTTGGAGAATAACAGAGCACAGTTATTTGCGAAATTTAAAATTCTTAGTATGTATAGTGATTACTGGTTTATTAAGATGTGTTTTTTTCGTTTGAAAAAAAAAAAATATAATAACTCTTGGTTGGTAAAACATCGCTGGTAGAAAACATCGCATTAACATAATAAAAACAATTAAAGCGGTAACGCCGCGGCGCGCCGTAAATATTTGTCGTTTTACCTACACTTTTCTTTCGGATTTTCCCTGATTATTTCCAAAACCCCTTAGAAAATCGAAAAATGACCTCCTCAATGCGCCAACGAGAGAAAATTACCTTTCAGAAAAGATACTATAGTCTATACTTCGGAGCAAGTTCTGGTAGAAAAGTTATTTAGCAAAAAAAAAAAAAACATTAACAAATACAATCCGAATCTAAAATATCAATGCTATAATATTATAACCGTACCAGTTTATCGAACCCGACTCAGAATCACTTTACGTTTACAATGATTTATCGTTGCCCACCCACAATGACCAATGACAACGGCGATGCAAAATAATTCAGAACTGAGTAGGTACGGAATTTGATTTTAGGATGTATTATATACGAGTATGTCGAACTGCATATTATTGTACAATAATTGCATTCAACCCGTGACGTTTTATTTATTGTATTGTCCAGGTAAAAACCGACTATCGGGACGAACACGATAAATGCGTTTAAAATATTTCCGGGACGGTACAAAAATATGATCGGGAGGGGGGGGGAGAGGATATCTTTGTCCCAGATATATTGGGACGCACTCGCAACAACGCGCACAAGACCTCGTGTATTGTGTAAGCCTCATCCGCGCGGACGAATCGCGCCGGCCTTTTCGGCGTTGTTGTTCTTTCGGCAATCGATTACAAGCGCCGGCTACGACGCATCGGACCTTTCGGACAGGAGGGAAGGTCGGCGAGGGGCCGACCCATGTACGATGACGTGTCCGGAGGCGATATCCTCGTGTGTACATTCGACACACGCTCACACCTCATCCCCTATAATGTATACTATATATGTTTTATACTTCCTGTTGGCTGGTCCGTGAATTACGAATGCGGGGTGCCCCACCGTAGGTTTCCGTCCGCGTTTGTTCGCTTATTCGTTACGATTTTGTCGATCTTTAACCTACCGTCTGTAGTACAAGTATCGAGCACGGCGCGACCATTTATTTCACTTTATATATATCCGCAGGATAGATTCCGAAGAAAACGTAATTGTTGTCCGCGGCGGCGTCGGCACCTTTGACGCTGAAGCCTAAGCGTGTACAAATGTGTTATATCGGTTTTACAACTCTGGTCATTATTTTCTTCTTTTGTGTTCCAATACGCTTCAAAGCGGTTTTTCGAAAAATGTCGCGTAATAATGATAATACGTCGACGGTCAGGATAATAATACAATCCGTTATAGTGTGCTATGTATACATCGTATACGTTTAGATTTAACGAAATTTCAATGTCATTCATAATATTTGTAAATATAATTGAAACAGAAT